CTCTCATGGCATTTGCTGCGCGATTAAACACTAATTTGGCGTGACACTTCGTTGGCCACAAACGACAGCAAACACGGGGTAAAGATCAGTTCAGAATGGGAGCTACTTTGCGCTGCCATACCGCGAAACGGCCAAACCGCAAAACAAAGCTTCTCGCCGAAGGCCTTCAGAACGCTCGGAGCCGGTCGGATACTCCTGCCCATACGACCGCAGCGCCGCCGCGTACATCCGGGACCTTTCCGTGTGGCGCCTGATCCCACTACTCCTTTCTAGTATGCGCCGCCTTTTCCACCGCTTGGTGGCGGGTATGTCGACGGGTCATTTCTTGTTTTCGTACTTTATAAACTGCATTCGTTTCTTTTTTTGATCTAAAATGCTGAACAAAGACTACCTTTATAAATAATTGAAACGGTTCGCGCCACATATACTGCGTATTTCGACTAAAAAGAAGCTTTTGGCGGTTCTGACCAGTAGTAAGGCCAGGACCAAAGACGTCACATTTTGCGCGCTTTTGGTACCGCGGGTCGCCCTCGTCGGTGGAGGAGGTTTCCGTGTCGTCCGGTTAAAATATGACGCATTGATATTTAGTTACTCTCTCCGTGCCTGCTGGCTTGCCCAAACCCCAAGAGACGTGGAAACTGCAAAAAAGGTAGACGCTTAAATATGATTGCAGGGCCCCTTTAAATATTGTCTTTCTGTGTGTGGACATACTAAAACACGTATACAAGACTTCTCAGTTAACATGCACCAAGCCTTAAAAACCCTGCGCCCTAAGCACACAAACCTAACTGCTTGTTATTAGCGAGCATCATCTAAAAGAGCCGCATCCGTTTTATTGTCGTTATTAATTAGACTGAATAAATCTTACCCTTCGGAACACTCTTCATAATGACATATAGTTCAACATATTCTTAGCACCTGGCCTAGTCTTCACGTATATGAAAGTTAACATTTTTATGTGCTACGCGGATACATTTGTTCAGACATAACACTGCAAACGGTGTATTATATTTATGAATCTGACACTTGCGTAATCCAGTTGTTTGTGTGCTTACACTTACGGAAATGCTGCGCAACATTTCCGTAAGTGTACCAAGAAGCTCTTCTCCGTTCAGCCCTAACGTAAATCAGTAAGCAAAGAATAACGAATATCTCTGGATTGTTTGCCTACTCTGGCATTACATCTGTTATGTCTGTTGTCAGTTGTGGCATTTTTGACAACAGACATGTTGTACATGTCTGTTTTCAGCTGTGACCCATAAACCCACTGTCTTCCTTCTTCGCGTCCAGGGCGTTCCGAGATCGCGAAGGGTTCAGTCGCGGTGGACGACGTTCCAGCGAAGGGGACCGCCAAGACTCGGCGTCCTCGTCCACGACGCGTCGGACGTCGTCGGACATCCGAATCAGCAAGAAGGCCGAGGAGAGGAGCCGATGTCGCCGACTCGAGGACGACCTCCGCATGGGTCGCGGTCTGAGTCCCAGACGTCCGCCGCGCTACATCAGACCGAAGCTGCTTGACTCGACCGTCCAGGTAAGACAGTGTGCTCCGAGGTTACAGGCATAGTGAAGAAAATTGAAAGCATTTCGGAACCGCTGCTTGTATAAGGGACCACGAAGCGACCTTGAATTTGAATGTTATGCATTTGCGCAAGAGATATATAGACACGAGTGTGGCGGAAATGTACCCCCCCACGCAACGCCACGGACATCCTTAACATTTTTGTCAGGGTGTTATTCCTAGGATAGAAGCGGACTATTTCTTTTAATCCCTCCTTTACAAACGTTTATTTGACGTAGTCCATGGAATTACCCTAGGACCTAGGGTAACGCCGACATGAGCATTGTCTCTGTTAGAACTACAATTAATGCACTGGCGGCTGTTCGTGTTTCTTGCGTCCAAACGCTGCAGTATCGACAAGAGCCCAACTCTTACGTTGTTCTGACCACCGCATGTGCCATTGTGCATTGCCAACCGCTGCTCGTTCTTCTTCAATGTTTTCTACTACTGCAGATAATGGGAAGAGAGAAACACCAATGCACTGGGAGGTTTTAAGCGTTAATAAGTTATCTTGAGCAGTATTGAAGGAAGGTAAAAACATAATTTTGTGGGGCCACTTAATGATTGTGCGAATTATTGCGATGTTGCGGATATACTTCTCAAGAACATATTTAGACCGGTATGTTTGGTCAAAATGCGAGACAAAATTAACGGATTTTTTTTTGCATCGTCGTCTTCTTGATATTTTGAAGATTAATTCTACAAAAACAATAAAGCGACTGTGACAACACAGTGATCAAGTAGATGTTGTAAACAATTTGTTTTTTCTGTAACAATGACCTGTAGTCAGCACGCGATTTCAGTGCGGATATACCGGGGCGAAAACAAATCAAGAAGCCATTGTTGCGGAGTTGCCTCTCCGGAGTTGGGAATGACTCCAGAATCATTCCGCCCTTCCACGACTCCCTCAATGGAATGGGAATGGAATAGCATCAGCACTGGGAAAAATGGTATGGGGTATGGAGTTGGGTGGCATTTTGCCTAAAAGAGCGTGACAGTGGAATGCACCCTGTTTTATGTAAACTGTGTCGATGTGGTCAAAGGTGTTTTTAGAACAGCGACATTGTACTTTATGTACTGACGGCTTGGTTATGTGACCGGCTCATGTTATTCGGGGATGCAAGTGGCGCCCCCAGTGAAGCAACTAAAACGGAAGAGTTGCAGGCGGACAAGGTCTTGCTCCTGGCGCCGCGAGACGCGACAATGTGGCTGTTTTGACCATGTGTGATTCAGCACCAGTCGTAGGCTGCCTGGCAAGGACAATGTCCCACCGCTTGCGTTTCTTGGATGCGTGCACTTGCCATGTATCCCCTAGAGGGGAAATATATACACGGTCCTTTCGTGAATAAAATGGTTGGCTTGAAGTTGGCCACCTTTTACGAGCCTTTTTACGCTTGTTCACGCGATCGACATCTGCAGTGCCACCATAGCAACCGCCACTAGCGCTATCTGTGACCACCACTCGGCTTAGTAGAATAAATCGTTTCGTGACTTGTTTTGCATAGTTTTGCAGTTGTCTGAGCGTTTGATAACTTGTTCTTTATACTGACGTTAGTTGCCGGCCGCTTAAAGGGGCGCGAAAGAGGATTCTGCGATCGTCTGTTCATGCATGGTCACAACTGATTCTACGGGCCCTAAGCATCCTAACAATCCAGAAATTACAATCACGCGACTTCGATTTCTTTATTAGAAACGTAATGAAGGGTCGGGACACATCCCTTTTGAGCGGAATTTTTCGCAGAGCGGCTTGCGATTCCTTTCCTGAGCGGAAATATCGGCTCAGAAAGTGGTTTGTCGCGGCTTTCCACACGTTTTTAATGAGAAAATCGGTGTCGAGTGACTGGAATTTTTAAAATTTTAGGATGCTTAGAGTCCGTAGAATTAATTATGACCAAGAACAGACGGTCGCAGAATCCTCTTAAGTACCGCTTTAGTGTAGTTGTTAATAGCCATTTATTCGCGGTGGGGACTTAGAGGAATGGAATGGAAAGGTACAGCCATTCAGGGGTGGGAATGAGCCCAGTGTTTCCAGTGCTAGGAGATGGAATTATCGGAAAACGAATTCCCTGGAATAGAGTTGGAATAGAATGGGGGGCGTTCGTTCCGCAACACCGCTCGAAGCAGCAAGAACTGACGCAAGGGTGTCGTTACGCCTTGCCTCTAACCCTCTAAAGAGGCAAGGAGAGATACATTTTATATTAATCGCAGCTCAGCGTTTATCTCCTGTGAAGTGCGTGTGGTTTTGAATTTGTATAAATTACTTATGGGACTCTGTAACAATGCGATTCAGGCCAACCATGCTGCTTCGGTGTCCTTACGGATTTCTTCCTGTTAGAGTCGGCGAGAATTTGGAAAATGCCTCAGATAAATATGCATTTATTAATTCTGTTTGCCCCAGACTTCTGACAGTTCTACGTCAAAGCACATTGTGCCGGACGCGAAGGCCAAAGCGGTCTCTCCAGTGCCGCCTCCCCGCCAACGTCTGATCAGGGGACCGCACCCCGACGCTGAGGACGTTCCCGTCAAAGTCGTCCGCGACGCCGGAGCCGCCGGCTCTGGCAAAGGATCCAGTTGAGTCATCTTCTCTTTCTCTGAACCTTCTTTAAGGGACACTAAGGAAAACTTAAAAACGTTTTATCATTCGTTAATGAAAACTGCGAGGTGGGGCACGAAGATAAGTTAAAGTAATTGGTTACTTTCTGTCTCTATTGGGCTCTCAGAGACCTCAACATCGAGACATTCTTCAACTCGCTATACATTCAGAGGGAACAGGTCCACTCGTCACAGCCAACTTGTCACAGGAAAACTTGTCATAGGTCAACTGGTCAAAGAGGGCATCTTGTACTAGGTGAACTCGTAAGAGGGGAAGTGGTCGCAATGACCTTCTCGTAACAGGAAAAGTCGTCAAATGCTTTCAGTTCGTTCGTCACATTTCTTACTTATTTTTTTTATCTTGTTCGATAAACCCACAAGGGTGTATTGTCTTTCACCGTGACCCATCTTTTTCATTGTAAGCACTTTTCACAGTTCCTTTTGGAGGGCAGATTTTTGTAAGGGGGATGCCAAGATTCAAAAGAAGGAAGTCTTTCCCAGTGACCCCTATTTTTCATTGTTTTTAGAGGGAAGACTTTTGTGAGGGGGTGATAAGGTTCAAAAGGTGAAATGCTTTTTTTTTGTTGTTTATCGCTTCAAATCCGGGAAAGCGAAGTGTGCACTCGGTAAAACTCTGGCTTGAAGGTATATATACATATAGAAAGAAATAAGCTAACTGCCAGACTGAACACCGGCAGGCTGTACGATGGAACTAACGAAAACCCAGCGCGGAGCAACTATGCTGCTGTACGAAGGATATTCATATACGTGTAGCCGAGAAGACTCCGAGACTTCGTACTGGATCTGCAGAAATAGAAAAGGCTGCAAGGCTAAAATCACCACGGACAAGATGATTTCCCGTATCACCAGGAGAACCGGGGAGCACCCTCATCCGGGAGATCCAACCACCATCAATCTTCTAAAAGTCCGGAATACCATGAAAGAAAAAGCTGGTAAGTCACTTTGTTTTTGTTTCTTCACTATCGGTCACGTTTTAACCGCATAAATTAGATGTAACCATTTACTGTTTTTATTTTCTGAAGTTGAAGGAACTCAAGGACCCCAGCAGATCCTGCTCGACGCGGCAGCAAGTGTGAGCGAACACACGGCTTCGCAAATGCCACCCACAAGCACGCTGCGCCGAACCATAAGGAAACAGCGGCAGCAGAGTTGCAACCCCTACTCCGTTCCTGCAACTCGCGAGGATGTCGTCATTCCAGGCGAATACACGGTAAAGAAATTTGTATCCACCTTTTAGTCTTAAAAACCACTGAGCTAATTTCGCCTTTGTCTGTCTTCACTTGGAGTGCAAGCATTAATTGGTTTTCTGTTTGCAGGTTTCTCTCAAGCAAGAATCCTTCGTCGCCCACGATAGCGGATTTGGCGACCGCAACCGCATCTTAGTTTTTGCCACTCAACGCAACCTTGATTGTCTGTCGAGGTCCAAAGCTTGGTTTATGGACGGAACATTTAAAGTTACGCCATCCATTTTTTTCCAAGTGTACACCGTGCATGGAATGTACAAAGACGCGGTCATTCCTTTGGTGTACGCTCTCCTGCCAAACAAGACCGAAGAGACATATCAAAGGTATGATTTGTACTAGGACTAGTTCTGAAATTGGAACTTGGTAAAATCATGTGGCTGATTAATATTGCCGACACTTTTTCAGGCTTTTTACAGTACTTTCAAGTCTTCTGACACAGCCTGCGGTGGAGCTGGTGTATTGTGACTTTGAGTCCGCCGCTATCATCGCCACTGGCAACATTTTCCCGCAAGCGCGTGTTCAAGGCTGTTTCTTCCACCTATGCCAGGCCGTGTATCGCAAACTGTGCAAGCTTGGCTTCCAGACACGCTACGGAACAGACGAAGATTTCGCGGTTTTGGTAAGTTCGGACATTCGACTGCGTGGTATAATTGCTATACTAATGAATATATTAAAATTCGTACGCAATCGCAGGTGAGGATGCTGCCTGCCTTGGCATTTCTGCCACCTGCAGAGGTTCCAGATGCCTTCGAGGACCTCGTGGCATTGTTTTCAACGGACGCGATGCCTCTTGCACTCTACTTCGAAGACACGTACATCGGACGTCGTCGACGGAACGGATTGTTGTCTGCTATGTTCCCGACAAGTGTCTGGTCTGTCCACGCATCTGTTCTGGAGGGCCTTCCGCGCACAAACAACGCCGCCGAAGCTTGGCACCGCAGCTTCCAGGTTTGTGCCATTGCTATACGCTGAGCAACCTTTTTCGTTTGTTGAGCTTTAGCCGCTCACCTCCGACTCTTTCCAGACAAACATCAACTGCAGCAGGCCTAACCTATGGTCATTCCTGGGATGCCTGCAGAGAGAGCAGTCTTTGCAAGAAATGAAGATCGCGCAGCTGGACGCTGGTCAACCCCCCTCCGGCATGGCCGCAAAGTACCGGGTACTCAATGAGCGCATTTCACGAATCTTGTACGATCACGACGCAGCTCGGCCGCTCTCGACACTGAGATGCATCGCACGCAATGTACGGCTGTAAGTCAACTCGGGACATTCCTTCTTAGAAAACCACTTGTCACATTTTGCAAATAAACGAAGTTTTGATTGATGTTTTTATAGTTTTTGTCATGTTCAAAATCCCTGCTGCTTTGTGCGCATTAGATACAACACGTCTCCGGAAAGGTGCAGTCAAATTGGTATACTCGTCAGCCATGCAGACCCCGTTTGCTTGAACAGAAGCGAATAGCCAGATGGGGCTGAACAGGGAGCCCTAAGTCCAATACCACCTATTATAAAATTGAAGCCTCGGAGGCGCATCCTGCGACAAACAAATTTTGATGAAAGTCGAGTTCTCCGCCGTTACGAATTCCCCGCCGTTACGAGTTCCCCGTGCACGAGATGGCCTATGACGAGATGCCCGCTGTGACCAGTTCCCCTATGACGAGTTGGCTGTGACGAGTTGGCTTGTGACGAGTTCTCCTAGACCCACATTCAGAAACGGCGGTCGTCTTCTGAAACAATGCATCGTCTATGCGGTTACTCTGCTTTTCTTTTACGAGTCTACCATTAACTTGCTCCTTTCACCTTCAATGTGTTGCAATACCACCTTTCATCTCAGCACTTCTCAGACATCGCCAATAGTAAAACCCGTCGTTGTGTTTGTCCTTGCCTTCAAATGCGCCAAAGCACGATGCCCGCTCCTCGTGCTGTCCTTGGAAGTAAATAGCGGCGCACTGAAATGAGCGGCCCTCGGAAGCGAATGGCGTCGTAGCACCTGTTCGTGGTACGTGTCTTGCACGTTCGCACGTTCCAAGCTTGAACTTTATCAAGGGGCTTTAGCCAATGGGGGGAATGCAGAGGTCACGTTTGCGTCCCCGACGGGTTCGTAGCTTGTCACAAGGATTGCAGTATATACCGGCGCGCTTCGCGACGTCAAGATATATGCGCGTCTGCCGCTTTAGTCACTGACAATGACTGCGTTCCAAACTCTACTCGGTCCGACTCCGGAGGAAATGTTTCGTACCGTGGCGTCTCAAAACCTCGCTTACTCGATGACGTCAGAACTGGCGTTCCAGACGCGGGTTGATTATTCCGAAGTATTTACTCACATTGTACCCTCCTCCGATCGGAGCCGCAGGAGGCGCCTTTCGAACGCTCGGCCTTCAGCACGCGCTTCATGCCTTCCGCAGTGCTTTGGCAGCGTGAACGCATTCGAGGTGCGTGCAACAGATGCCGAAGCGCTGTCGAAGTATAGGAAGCTGGCGCTGGAGACGGGAGAACTGAAGTTCCCCCCTGCCGTTCTTACCAGTTACTATAGACCCCTTCGCTTACAACCCGGGCAGAAACGATGAGTCACTGAGCGGGGGACACGTGCGCAGCGCCTGATATACAGCACAACAGAGCTACAGCGCATTCTCAGAAGGCGTCCACAGCCCAGCAGGCAAAGATGTCAGCGCGCAGAAGGCGATTCTTGTAAAGTCTATAGAGGTTAATCTAAAGTCCCTATAGATCTATCAACTTTAGTATGCTTCCTCTCGAAAAAACAATGTTACAAAACAGAACAAAACAACAACAAACAACACAATGTTAGAGCGCATGACTGATAAAGCAGAGCTTTGAAGTGAGAGCCCAAAGCAAGTGCACGTAAAACCGAACACTGCCTCCCGGGACAGTACTTAGCAAAGTTTGGAGTTCATGCAAGCCGATGCCCAAACCTGATTTATTTATGTTAGGATTAAAAAGGTATTCGTCCGTCCCTCGCGCTATTTATCTGTAATTAGAAATATGATTGCATCTCTATGTGTTTCCTCTTGCATGTATTTCCTCTTGTATGGGATTCTTCTGAAGAACTTCATTTAATAGATTTTCTTTCTCCACGTTTCGTGTACTTGCCTTCCGATATGTCATGCGAGCACAAAGTTCTTTTTGGCATACCCCGCGACCTGTTGTTTCACACTGCCAAACAGCGAACAAATAATCACGTTTCCGCATATGGGCTCAACAGGGCGTATTCTTGAGCCGGTCTAAAGCGGTCATGTGAACTTATAGTAAAATTTATTAAGAATCATAAAAAAAATGAAAATCGTTTACAACTTCCTGTAACGCGTAATCAGAGCGCAGCTCTTGAGGAGGAGGAGGGGAAGGTACGGAGAAGAGGCTATGCCCCTCCTCCTCTCCTGCTCGCCTCCCATTTAGGGGAAAATTTTCCGCTAAATTTAACAGGGAAATTTCACCGCTAGATTTCGCGGGGAAATTTTTCCGCTAGATTTAGTGGGGAAATTTTTCCGCTGAATTTAGCGGCGAAATGTTTTCCGCTAAATTTAGCGGAGAAAATTTTCCGCTAAATTTAGCGGAGAAATTTAGCCATAATGCACTGCGCGGTTACGCCGACGCCGCTCAAGCCGGAAACGGGAGCCTAAGAGCTGCGCTCTAAATATATTTAATTACTGACTGAAGATTTGGCAACATAAATAAAGGGCCGATAATCTTAATATACATCATAAGTAAATGCACTCCCAAATTATCTGAAAAGATGCTCTGCAAATTTCATCCGGCGTTTTTATCCTCGATAGGCACGTGTGTAGGTGATTTGAGAGAGCCTTAGATCTGATTTATATAACTATGTGTTCCTCACACATATATATCTTTACAAACATGTTGAAGTATGTTATTGCCTCCTCTTTTATGTGATGAAGAGTAAGTTTATGTGCCCGTGGGCGGGACAAAAACAAAGTATCACAGGGGCGCGTGGTGGAACTATGACGATTGCGCACGCAGGCCGTCAGAAAGTGCCGAATTAAGTAGCTGCTGTGCCGAGCAGAGCATGAAATACTTCTTTGTTATATTTAACAAGAAATCATTAATTAGCAAGGGTGAGGCTTATTTGTAAATTAAATTTATTGGCATCTTGTCAAGAACATTTCTCAACACCCAGGCTATGCCAGTTTATCCTGCATAAGGAAATGTTCACTTGGGTACGGGCTATTTTTAAGCAAGATTCGATCGGAGTATGAAGGTGCGTTATAGATTAGAGCGAACAATTTTGAACACTGTTTTTTGCGTGATTCTTCGCCTACATCACGGTGCTAAGTGTAAAACCTGTTGGTTAGAAGCACAACTCTTGCCGCGCGGTGTTCCTATCAATGGTAGACTAAAAGGTCTTGTCTTAAAACTTCCGTACAATTTTGAAAATATTATTGCTTTTAGCTGAGTTGCGTCGTCATCATATATGTTGCGCAACGTATTTTTGTAAAGTATATACCACATTATATAAGATTTTTTAACGTAACATAATTGTTTAAAGACATCTGTGAAAGTTACACTTATGCGGTTCGTGCAGGTGAGTTATAATGCCAGGGGGACATAGTATAGGGGCCTAATCGTAACGATCAGTCGGATAATTAAGTAAAATTCGTTAATTAACTTTTAATTAATGAAAATAGATATATGATTCTAATGAGAAACTTGCTCAGTGTCATAAAAAACCACTAAATCAGTATTTTTTGGAAAGAATTTGAGCGCGTGAGAAGCGTAGTAGTGTACTAAAGTTACCGCTCGTGGAGCAGGTACAAGCCTGGGGCTAGTACAAGGCTAGCGGTTTCGGTGCCTTACCGAAACCGCTAGCCTTGTACCTGCTCCATGAGTGATAACTTTATACTTCGTTTCAGCTTCGGTCCAGACGCAGCCAAAGCTACAAGCGCGAGCTCCGGGCTTTCAGCATCTCTGCCAAGCACGCGCGCTCGTGCAGTGCAAGCACTGTTCTGGGCCACATGCTCGCGCTTGTAGCATCGGCTGCGTCTGGACCGAAGCTGAAACGAAGTATAGTGCACTTTACGCTTCTCACGCGCTCAGTCTTTCTGAAAATTATGGATTTAATGGTTTTCCATGACGCTCAGCAAGTTTCTAATTGACTAAAATTTTAAATAATTAGCCAACTGATTGTTACGATTAGCCCCTATACTCTGTCCCCCTGGCCGTGTAACTCACCTGCACGAACCGTATAAGTTTAACTTTCACGGCTTTTCTTAAACAAATCTGTTAAGTTAAAAAAAAAAAAAACGGTATATGGCGACAAGGTGTCGATTCCATGATTTTACTAAAATCATGGAATGGACACCTTGTCGCCATATACCATTTTTTTTTAGTTGTACCCTCGAAGGATTTACAGAGCCTAAAATCATTTTAGGCACTGTAATTAATTCCGTCAAGGGCACAACTAAGATTCGACTTTTAATACTGCCACGCAAAGTTGTACCGATCGCTGGCATTCTAGGCTAGCTATATCACACTTCTTGACAACCTTTCGATTCAGGTAAAATACATGCGAGTGAGGTAAACAAATGAATATTGAGTCATAAAAACACGACGTTTCGTATGTTATTTTAGATTTTCTTGTGCTGTTGCGTCGAACTTAAATAATGCAATCTCATTATTTTGTTACCTGAAAATAAAAATGTATTGTACGAGCGATAAAAAAAAAAAAAAAAAACTTTAGTTACTGGTCTCACGGCGGAAATAGTGCATAGTGCAAAAACAACGCGGAAAATATATTCTTAATTTAGCGTTTCAAACCGTTATTTTTGCTCCCCGGAGCTGAACCGAGAGCCGTGAACCGGAACCCGAACCGAACCGATAAAAATTTCAGAGCGACACCCTGGTCACAGTAAAGAATTTTGTTCATCCAAGTAAAGAGCCGGCACCGCACATAAAGGTCTGTGCAGTAACAATGCTAGGCGGGTGACAGCCACGAGCGCCCAAAAACCCACATCTGCTTATGTTTCTCGAAGATCGTGCCGAGTCTCCAGTAAATTGCATGCCGCAATGAAAAAAAGAAAAAAAGGATGGAGAGGAGGATTAGGAGAAAAGGAGGGAGGAGGAACAGAGGAGGGGGAGGAGGACGGGAGGGTGCAAAAGAGGAGGAGGGGCATACCCTCCCGTCTCCCCCTCCTCTCCTCCTCTTCGGGAAATGCACTCTAACTTCTTAATCCAGAGATTTGTAAACGTCTCATTTTGTTAATCCCTTTCATTCCACGTGTGATGTCACGTTTCACGTGAGCGCTGTGGGTTGTTTGAAATTCCCGGACGAGGTCATGATGCTGTGACGTCATGACCCTTTCGACCGATAAGGACTTTCCCGTCACAACGCCGCCGACGCCGGCTTTTCTGCGACCCGAGCTTCTTAACGCTATTGCGTTAACTATATAAATTATAGGCGGCATCCAAAGTCGAGGCCTCGCAGCGCATACGCGTCGCTTTACGTTTCAATAGCAGAGCTTTTCTTTTTTTTTATTGACATACAGGTTAAGAAAGTTTTCGAGGGAAAGGGGGACAGGGGAAGAGGCAGCAGACGGAATGCTGGAGAGGAGAGAAGAAAACCTGCTTCTCTCTTCAGCTTCCGTCTTCAGCTTCCGTCTGCTTCCTCTTCCCCAGCTAGAAAACTTTTCCGACAGCCAGAGATGAGGCCCTAAGCTGCAGCCTCCTTAGCACCCCTCCCCACTTTAATTCAGCACTGCCTAGATAGGGAGACTTCATCAGTGAATGTTGGCTTTGTTCGTTTCTTTTCTTCCAGACGGACGGCCGCATGACGCCAAGCCCGACGAAGAGGCACAAACCGCGACTGTTCCAACTCAATTGCCACAGCAGAAGACTGAATCACCCCCTCGGCCCTCGTCAGATCAGGTCGAAATCTGCATCGAGGCCCATAAGCCTAGCCACGACGACCGGAAGGCACAGAGACTGTCTTCTGCGCCATCGCCAGCCGGGTGAGCAAAGCCCGGAAATTGTAGGCCATTGTGCAGCTCCACGCAAGGCCCGTACAGCCTCCCTCAACTGCCCTAAAACGGCAATAGACTTCCGAGTGCTTGCTCTGGATGCTGTGTTTCAAGCAGAGCGTCGCATTGTCTATGACGATATTGTGTCGGCGTAGGACCGACTCGTTATCTGAGCAGTGTTGCGTTGTGTCAATTTATAGACCGTTTCACTTCATGTGTATTGAATGTTTTACCGAACATCGCCCAAACATTTCTTGCGATAACTACGCATGGAAAGGAAAAAAAAAAGAACTCAATTGATGCCGTATTATTCACTGCCGAGGGACCAGTTTAGTGGGTAGGTACATAGTGCCGCAAATAATTAATGTTTTCCTAGTCAATTGTTTAATTACTACAAAGAAATATGTCGTTTCAATGTAAAACGTATTGAGCGTCATCAAGGAATATTAAACCGGTTAACATTTTGAAAGACTTTGTGGGCGTGAGATGTGTGGCGGTGCTCGAAAGTTGGCATTGTGATACAGGCACAAAAGTGGTAAAATAAAAATGTGAGTAATAAAAAAAGTGGAAGCCGTTTACAAATCCCTGTAACGCCGAATTGGAGCGCAGCTCTTGAGGAGGAGGAGTGAAGGGTACTCAGGGGAGGGTAGACCCCTCCCCCTTCTCCTCCTCCTCCCCTCATTCTTTAATATGCTCCGGGGGGGGGGGTGTCACGTGACTTCGGGGAGGGGGTCACGTGACCTCGGGGAGGCGTGACCTGGGGGTGACCCCAAGGCCAAGTGACCCCAAAGGTGACCCCCACGTGACCTTGGGGGTCACGTGACCTGGAGGGGTCACGTGACCTCGGGGGCCACGTGACCTCAGAGGGGTCACGTGACCTCAGAGGGGTCACGTGACCTGGGGGTCACGTGGGGTCACGTGACCTTGAGATGACCTTGGAAGGGGTCACGTGACCTTGGGGGTCACGTGACCTCGGGGGTCACGTGACCTTGGGGAGGCGACCACGTGACCTCGGGGGTCACGTGACCTCAGAGGGGTCACGTGACTTGGGGGTCACGTGACCTTCAAAGGGTCACGTGGGGTCATGTTGGGGTCACGTGACCTTGAGATGACCTTGGAAGGGGTCACGTGACCTCGAGGGGTCACGTGACCTTCAGGGGGTCACGTGGGGTCACGTGACCTTGAGATGACCTTGGGAGGGGTCACGTGACCTTGGGGGGTCACGTGACCTTGGGATGACCTTGGTTACGCCGACGGCGACGGCGACGGCGACGCCGACGCCGACGGCGACGCCGACGCCGACGGCGACGCCGACGCCGACGGCGACGCCGCTCAAGCCGGGAACGGGCCCCTAAGAGCTGCGCTCTAAAAAAAAGAGTGGGCGCGTTGATTGTAGGTACCGTTCGGAATGCAGAAGAACAAAGTACGGGCTTTAAAAATTCCCAAAACTGAGAAACTCACTGACTTGTGAATGTCCCTAAGAAGTTTCTGATTGCAGCAATATGTTTATTTTTATAATTAAAATATCATTATGGAAACAAATAAGAAACCCGATCATCCTAAAGTAATAGGGTAGAGATTTTCATTTTTGTGCAATGCATTGTCTTTACACATAATTATTGGCCGATGTTTTGTGAAACCCCCCCTATATTATATCAATGCAATTTCGTCACACTAATGCTCTTGCTGTCTCCCTTTTCAGGCTGCGAAGCAGTCGCCAGAAACCCAGACAACCACCGAGGGTCCAAGAGGACACCAAACCTCTCAAGCCATCCTGGCTAAAGATGATCAGTGGCGTGATGCCGTTCGAGGGGTTCTTCGACCGGGGAAAGGGAAAGATTCCCCGCCGTAGCTTGCTGCGACAGCGCACGACGTCGACGGAAATGATCATCACCACGGATGCAGCGGTGCAGCTAGAAAAGCCCGCCATGGTGGACGACTCGCAGCAGGTGTCTGAGGCTCCCGTGACTGGTGAGGCACCTCCGTCTTACAAAACTTGGGCACATCCGTTTTGTCACACTTCTGGTCACGTCTGTGTAGCACTTGAAGATTTGTCTTAGGCAGTGTGTCGAACCGAAAAAAATACGGGTTCGGTTACGGTTCAGGTTCAGGTAAATTTATTTTACTCCGGTTCAGTTCCGGTTCGATTAATTCAATCCGCGAACCGGTTCGTGAACCGGTTCGGGGCGCTGAACCGGTTCGCGAACCGGTTCGGAAATTATAAATGACAAATTGCGACATCAAAATAAATTACAAATAAAACATCTGAAATCAGCACATACGAAACGGGATACATCGTAGTGTAAGGCTCAGGGATTTCTACCAGGAATGGTTTCTTTATGTGCACTCAAAGGTTACCTCACCGACGTTTACGCATTCGGACTTCATCTAATTGGGTCCGACGCAGTAGCTGTAAAATCCACGACCTCCTTACAAATCCACTTACAAGTAGAACTCGCTAACTATCCCGCCACCTCGGCGTGTAAGCAATTGAAGGAACAGTGGGGAGAAAATACAGCTTTCTTTATTTTAACTATCCTTCGGTAACTCAAATTAGACCCTTAAAGAAGTTTTGATTAAACAAGATACGGAATATGAAAAACACTTCACCGAACGCAACACCAGAAGGACGTAATAGGATAAATATTAAAATAGAAGAGTTCGCTGTCTCACAAATATGTTAGCTTCTAAGTGCCTATACGAAACCGGATGCATTATTATCAAACTCCACAGCCTTTTCTTTTATCATTCCGATGGAAGCGAGCTTCAAGAACTCGCGCGTTCTAGAAACGTCTTATGAAATGAGCACACAGCAACATTTAGGATTTACGAGATTGTAGAAAAATAAAATTCCGTGACGCGATTTTTTTTTTTTTTGCACAGCTTTTTATTTTTTTTTTCTTCCGTGCAAGCCGCGACCAGCGCAATACTGGTTCCTATGTCAAGATTAATGGATGCAGCGTTTGTCAAGAATCATGGATGCAGCGTTTATATTCCTAAGACTGAGTGGAGAAGAAAAATATGTAAGCGAGGTGTGTGTCAGTCGACGGCACTTAAAGAACAAATGGCATTGATTGCACATTCATTGTCAACAGCGCGTGGCCGAACCGTTTTGACATGAGCCGGTAACCGTTATTTTTTTACCGGTTCAGTTCCGGTTCGGGTTCATCGCGATAACAATATAACGGTTCGGGTTCGGGTTCAGTTCCGGAAAAAATACCGGTTCGGTTCCGGTTTTCGGTTCGGTTCGGTTCCGGTTCGACACCCTGGTCTTAGGTGCCCCAAAATGGGTGCCCAAAGTTGGTAATGTAGGCGCCATAATGAACAATGTTAACGGCAATGCACAGTGGCCATTCCTGTACTACAAGTGCCACATAGGAGGCATTTGCAGTACACGATCTTGCGTTCTGCAACACCCAGCAAGATATTCGATGATAGTAACAGGGTGGCATCTATTTGTGTTTTCGAGGTAACCCCGTCTGGTCTAGTATAGCCTCCGACAATATGAAAAACCCATTCGACAAGACAGTGTGAGGAGGTTGTGCTGGATTCGCTTTGGGCATGTTCACTGTAATCGTGTAAAGAAATAAATAAACGTTTGTTCTATTCTATCTTTCGAAACAATTAGAGCCTCCAGCCAAATTGAGCCACTGCAAAAACTTGAACCGCCGAATGGGTCTTCGTACTGTCGGAGGCTGTACATGAAGGCTCCAGCAGTGGCCATTTCGAGATGAACCTGCGCTTAAAATAAAATGAAATATCGATAATATTTACCATCTATAGGCCGGGAGTCAAATCTAGAATCCTGGCCACAACGTCGAAAACAGACACAATATTGCGGACAGAAAGAAATACAATTAAATTGACTGGCACTCTTATTACGAATTCGTCACATACGTAGCTAACATGAATGGTGTGCAGATTTATATACATATATATATATATATATATATATATATATATATATATATATATATATATATATATATATATATATAACGGGCATGGTGGCGGGAGGCCGAAGGCGTGGGTATAAAACTGAGAAGAAAAAAAAAGTGGCCATTCCTGTACTGCAAGTGCCACATATGAGGCATTTGCAGTACACGATCTTGCGTTCTGCAATACCCAGCAAGATATTCGATGATATTAACAGGGTGGCATCTATTTGTGAAGATTAAATCGTCCGTTGTTGCTGTTTTTCACTAAGGGTTTTTTTCTTCTTAGTCTTATATATATATATATATATATATATATATATATATATATATATATATATATATATATATATATATATATATATATATATATATATATAGTTTCGCGGAGTTTGTTGTATAATGTATCTTAATCTTACAGAGCACAGACAATCAAATGTTAAGAAATTAATTCGGCTGCACTTTGTGGCAGTAGGCATACATGAACACGGGCCACGGTGTAAGATAATCTGGAACGACGCCTATTTAAACCCAGCTCCCTATTTCAGCTTGAAAAAGAGTTTGAAAGAGCCAAACGTCAATTCTTCGTGGTTTGCTTTTTCACCGCCCTCATGCATCTTGTTATAACATTTTCTGAAAATAAAACAAAATTCGTCATTCATGATTAAAAAAACAAAAAAAAAATTTACATGCACGTTTGCTCGCAAAAATATTTTCCCCGCATATCCTTTGTTTAACACATAGTCTACTACACCCTTCAGGGTTATTACGCTCTCATCGTTGAAGATGGAGAACCTGAAACGCACAAATTACCGCTGATTGTTTTGTCGCAGGTGGCTGGTTCGATACCGCATCCGTTTATCGTTCGAAGCTGGACGCCGAGGTAACTCTTGGGCAGTGTATTGAAACCACTGCTACACCCAAAAGAAGACGAATCACTGAAAATTTCGTCCCAATACGTTTGGACGGAGAGGCTTCAAGGTCAAGTCGCACCACATCAGGGAGTGCCACAAACACGGAAAATTCTGAGCTGGTCCTCAGAGATGCACAGCGTCACAAGGATCGTGATTTGGCTGTAGCGACCATTTGTCACGACACAATTTCCGAACCTTCGTTGCTGCAGAACACGTCCACAAAATCTGCGGGGTCGTCGAAGTTTTCCTCAAGTCAAGAGTCACCCTCCAGCGATCATTCAGCAGTTGTACCGACCAGTACAACACCGGGACTTTTCACGAACCATTCCAAGATATCACTAGGAGCTTCGGGGCAAGACTTTGACGATCTCTATCTACAGATGCAAGGCCCTAGTTTGAAAGAAATGACTGAGCTTTCTTCCAGTTGTAATGCAACATCGGACGGCGAAGAAATATCGCGCAAGAGTGCCGCAGGCAAGGACATTGAAGTCGCCGTAGTCTGAGATGTGAAGCCGACTTCGACAGCCAGTTCATGTCACGATACGACTGATGCTTTCGTACACTTAAAACTTGACGTCAGAACTACAGCAAAAAATGGTCAGCAATCGGTTGAGGCTGAACAAGTATTTGACGAGGACATGTCTGACTCGGTCCTTGATGAACTTGAACATCCGTTCAAGACGCCAGAACCCACGTCTTCGAGCGTCATGTCTCGAGGTATCTTTCGAAAGGCGAAGTCGACTTCTGACACGCCGACAGAAGGACAGCGTCGCGTCAGCTTTCTGGAAAAGCCGTTTGCAGAAGTGCTGCATATCATTAAAGAGGAGGAGGACTCTTCGGATGAAAGGAAAGGAAGCTCGGCGAGTAAAAGTAAGCAATTTTATCTACTACACCAGTTCGTGTTACATGCGCTACTTCATTGTGGTTCAGCTGCATATGAAAGGAGGGTTTGCTCAAAAACTCTACTAGAAAAGAAAACGGAATATTGTGCATTCGGTGTTTAAATCACTTCTTTAGGAAACACGCATGTGCGTGAGTGTGTGTGTCTGTGAGTTTGGGAGCATTTACACAAAAATATCTCGCTTCCTTTCAGCCATCATGCACTTCAGATGCACTCCGTACTTTTGCGTGCACTATGCATACGAACCATGTAGAACCGTTCTACGTGGTTCGTATGCATATATCTGCGCGCAAAGTGCGGAGCGTATCCGAAATGGTCGTTGAAATCAAGCGAGAAACGAGTTGGGTTGTCTCCGCTGTTGCTGAACAGAGACTTTTACACGCAAAACGCTCACCGTTTTTAAACAAAACAGGGAAGGGGCTCGCACCCACACGCTTTAACCATAATTCCGGTTATACAGTCCATGCCTTCGATTAATGTAACAAGCCTAATGAGGAGGATTGGGTTGGACGAGCTTAGAGTCCGGCGAAACATAATGTATATAGGAGTGCAAACTAAAGACCGGTTTGTATATAGGGTGCGCTTTCTCGTTAAACTTCGTTGGCGGCGTTGCACTCGAATCATCGCCATCTCGCTTTTTTATAGGATATAGGAGGATAAAGTTGGGCTTAGAAGGGCGGGAGGAACCACTTATGTTAGTCTTTTTAGACTTAAGATAAGTGGCCCAAGTCCGAGGTCTTTGTGCGTCTATTATCTGCGGCTAAACCAAATCACGCGAAGTAAGCGCGCCGTCGTCCTGCGCTTTTTTTTTGCGTGATTGTTTTTTTTATTTATTTATTCATTTATTTTTTATAGCAGACACACAAAGATGACGACCGTTGCGATGATGCCCCCTGGGCGTGGCTCGATCGGATCCATCGAGTCGCAGCGTCGGCTGCGCTCGGGCTTCATATGAAACGGAGCATAAGATTATGTTATATAGCCGTTTGAGTCTGCGACGCCCATTTCTCTCGACTGAAATAAATGCTTAGAATGTAACCCGGAAAGCTAGTATTAATGTATTCTAGTACTGGTGCTTTCTGTTTATTCCCTGTGCCTTTCAAAAAGCGTCTTTTTCGGCATTTATGGTTTTGTACGACAATCCATACATGAAATTCGGTATGAGCTCCACTTTTGGGTGTCTTCGCCATTGAAAACGTTCCTTTCTTTGCCAATGAAAAACATCATGCGCTCTCTACCTAGTGGAGACGTTCCTTGACAGCTAATCACCGAAAACTTCTTACGAGTTAACGGTTGAATCATGTTCACTATACCTGTTTGACAAGTTCAGCAGCTATGTGGGCTCTTTGAACATGACCGGCTCACTCGCAGTGTTTCAAATTCTTGCAGGCAAAGAGAAACTCTCGACGTCGGGCAGCGCCGTTTTGAAAATTTTCGAATCGAGCCCCAAGCAAACGAGTCTCGAGGGCACCGAACGACACCCTGATGATGCATTTGTCGTGTACCAAGCGGAAACGAACGTCTTCAAAAGTCAGATGGTAGCCGTCCCTCCTTGACGACGTCTCAACCAGTCAACCGAGGATCCAAGTTCTCCCTTGTTCATCACCAACCATTTTGCGGCTCTGCATGCAGAGCCGCAAAATGGTTCCGCAAAATGGTTGGTGATGAACAAGGGAGAACTTGGATCCTCGGTTGACTGGTTGAGACGTCGTCAAGGAGGGACTGTGGTCTGACTGGCACTCTCAGAAAAAAAAAGTGTATTATTACACCCCTTGTCCCATATAATACACCCCAAAACTTCAATTCGACGTAGAGCGCCCCATAATCGAACAGGCGGCATCAAAGTTTACGAGGGGCTTGATAGCCGTGTGGTACAACTTATCAAGATAGCTGATGTACGTGTTATTGACTACAAAAAAAATTATCGGAGTTTTCTTGGCCGCACTGCAAAAGCTCCCTGTCTTCTTTCTTTGGGCTTTGATACGTAGTTTAGCAATTTAATAAGTTATATCGCACCGTTATCAAGCCCCTGGTAACATTTTGTGCCGTCTGTTCGACTATAGGGCGCTGTACGTCGAAATGAAGTTTTGGGGTGTATTATATGGGACAAAAGGGTGTAAGGTGATACCCTTTTTTTTAGAGTGTGACGAAGGACCCCTAGCCCCATCGCCGTCCACGTCTCTGTCATTCGTGTCCTCCGAGTCGGGCCACAACGTGATGCATCCATTGACCGACCTGGCGCTTCTTCGAGGACTACTGCCTTGCCGCAGGCCAAAGTACGAGACCGGGGACGGGAGGTCGCGAACTGGCCAACTTTCAAGGGCGCTGTCGGCAGGCACGCACACTGAGGAGGCGGCAACCAGGACTTCGCAGCAAGCCTTTGGTCGAACCCAGCAGTCATCGGTTGGTGATAGACTAAGGGGATCTTCGGTTTGGCCCAGGACTGGAGCGCGACAAGCGCTTGCTCCGATGTCGCCCAGAGGACCCTCCTGGGTCGCCGCGATCGGCACCCAACACTACTTCCGTGAAAGATGTGCCTTTCCTAAAGCCCCAACTCTGGATTCAGTGACAGCCCCGAACCAAACGGAATACGGCTTTCAGCAGAAGAAGTCTTTTCTGACCTCATTGTCTGCAGACGCAACTCCTGAAGATCCTCCAAGGGCCATGAGACCCTCCACGGCGAAATCCGAAGTGTTCCTGACAAGGAGCACAACCGGGTTGTACAGGAGCTCGCCGTGCTTCCAAGATTCTAACAACTCATCCAGGAACGATCTCTTCCTCCAGCCGCTTCGACTTAGGGACCTGGTCGTCCTGCGATACCCCCAGTTTCGCTGGCTAACGGTACAGTCAGAACAGTATACAGACGCTGGCGTGCAGGGATCGCAGCGAGAGTCTCAGTTTGCTACGTCTGAAAACTCCAGTCGAAATACTCCACCACTATCGCAGGTGGATGCAGTTGTGAAAACGCTCCGAGAGATTTATCTGGACACGTCAACACTTTCCCTACACCTTTCCGCCGACACTACTGGAATAGCGTCCGCTTTAGACGATAGGAATCTCGGTGATCTTCTAGCGGCAGCCAAAATGGCGCCCCTAGGGAATGTTGGTTTCGGTACTCCTTTGGAAGCTACAAGGCCTAAAGATGGGCACTCGGGGGGCGCCACACCATCCCTAATAAATATAGCTGCCACAGGGCTTGATTTGATATCATCGTCTTTGCCTAAATATGCATCGAAGGAAACGTCAGACATTTTAGAGGAGATAAGCTGGCCTCCTACGGAAGGCCTTATTCTCATATCGGACAGTTCGACTGCAGTCAGCGTAGCTGGCAGTTCCCCCGTCGCTGCGGATTGCAGCAGCATTGCCATCGAGCCCAGTTGGAAGGACAGTGTGCAGTCAGGGAGCTTGAAAGTCGGTACTGTTAGAAGCAGTGGCAGACGACTGTCGACAAGGATCCTCGAAGGCCCTTCCTTTGAATCGATATATAATTCAATCCTGCAGCCTCAAATTTCTACTGATCCCGCTACCGACATAGGCGCTGACGGTGTCTTAAATCCTCCGAGGGGTACTCGAGGTATATCACTCCCTGGTCGCCTCTTCCCTTCTCACGAAACAATCGGCTGGGATGAAAGGAAGGCGGCGGTCATAGTGACGGCTCAGACTCAGGTCAAGTTAGGGACGACTTGCAGAATCGAAGCTCTTCCGGATGGTGCCACTTTGGTGTCAAGATCAAAGCTTGCTCTGAGGAGTGGGCTTCGCTCGCAGACGAATGAAGCTATCGGACCCGGGGAAGACGCAGAAAGGCGACGGGAAGCCAGCCGGGCCGTTCTGGTGCATGAAGCACTATATCCGAGGCCGGCGCAAGACCGCGAAGACACGTCATCCACACCGGAGTCCACTCTGGACAGTGCCCAGGTGGCACAGTTGGGCCTGCAGACTAGATCAGAACTATGTCTGCAAGACAGCTCAAAGAGCTCGATGTCGTCTCTCGGACGTCGGAAAATGGATGTTCTGACAGTTGAAGAAGGTGAACTGTCTGCTTTTTTCTCATTCGAGGAAAGCAGCTCCAACACTTCTCTGCTCCCGGATGCGACAAGCCTTAGGTTCTCGGAGGATTCCCTCAGCGATACCGACGCCAGTTCATCGAATCAAGATGACGGCAATCGCGGTGCTAATTAGATTGCTTATTAACACTAACCGATAGCTGTCCGTTTGCATGCCTGAAAGGCCGTTTTCCAGAGACAATAGGAGGACAGTTTTTCCCTGCTGTATGTCGCCATACATATGAAGCACTGCAACTTACTTGGTTTAAAACAGTTCGTTTTGACCATCAATGTAGTACTTGTAGAGAATGTATACAATGTGTACGATAGTGAGTGAACAGGACATTTAACCTACCGCTCGTTCCCCCTGCGCATTGCGACGACAGAATAAACCATAAACTTCAGTGTTTCGTTTTCTCTCGCTTTCTTTGGTGGAGTACTGAAGCGACCCAAACCCTGGAACTTGTACATTTGATATAGGGCGTCGCTGTCGCTAGCTCTTTAAGCTGACCATTGCACTCTTACCGCTCATTCACACTGGAAGCGGATCCGCGTTCGG